TGGTGGTGTCTGCGGTCGCCCTCAAGCCAAGGGGGGGCGATCGCATCTTGGGCATGCTGCCCTTTCTGGCTACGCTGTGGAGCAAGATGAGGAGCGCCGGTTCTCTTTCGTGGGTGGTTGACGCTGACGAACGTGGGACACGGCCATACGAGGGTCGTCGGCTCTGCAGGCTGCCCTCATCCGCTCCCTGATGGACGAGACCTGCAAGGAGACGCAGATCTCTACTGCGACTATCTTACTTATTGGACCTGGAGAAGTTTTACGACGGCATCTCCATCGGGTTGATGTGCGCAGCTGGGATTCAGCAGGGCTTCCCCGCCATATCCTGGCTCTGGAGCTCCAGCTGTTCCTGGCGCCGAGGCACTTGAAGAATGGAGCGTGGCTGAGCAAGGCCATCCAGCCAGAGAGGAGTCTTGTGGCAGGCTCACTTCATGGAGGTCGTCTGGCAAAGACTTTTCTTGGGCCTATTCTTGTTCGGGCTCGCTCTCGGTATGGGATGAGTATCCTCTTGCGCACTTTCGTTGACGACGCGGTGGTCCAAGATGAGGGCGTCGAGAAGCGAATTGGTGATATTTTGATTGGTGCTGGGTCTTCTCTTGGAGCGGAGTTCAAGGCGGCGGGTTTGACGGTGAGCCCCAAGACGGTCGCCGTTGCATCCTCTTCGAAGTTGGCTGCGCATATTGCGTCTGGTCTTCAGCGAGCTGATGCCCCCGCCGAAGCAGTCCGACACGCTGTCGACCTGGGAGCTGACACCTCGGCGGGGAAGTGCCGTTCGAGGCACGAGGCCAGGGACCGCTTTACCAAGGCCACCAAGCGCATGCGTCGGCACGCTCGCCTGCGCGCCATCACCCGCTCCCCGTGGTCCATGGGTGCGGAGCCGCAGGGCACCTACTCGCACCAGACCTTCGGCGTCCCAAGCTACGAGATGGTGCAGCTGCGGAGGCAGGCCGCTCAGTCTGCATTTGGTACTGGACCAGGCGAGTGCCTGACGACGTCACTTGCTGCTGTGTATGATCGGCCGGACCCTGCTAAGAGTATTCGGCGTGAGCAGATATTGGCTTGGTTGAAGATATGGCGAGACTGCCCTGACCTGCATCATAGAGTGGCAAGGACTCGGGAGCGCATTCGTTCACGTCTCCGTCTCGCGGGCTCTCGGCGATGGAGAATCGTCGCGGGGCCCATCGCGTCGTCGATTGCCACTCTGCTCGACGTCGGCCGGGACCCGCGTAGTCCCATAGAGTGGACTTCGGACCAGGATGTGCCAAGCCGTATACATTCGATCGTGGATGCTGAGTTCCCATTCTACCCTCCTCCTCCTCCTCCTCCTCCTCCTCCTCCTCCTCCTCCTCCTCCTCCTCGGATCGTCCCCCCCCCCCCGCCCCCTCCCCCTCCTCCTCCTCCTCCTCCTCTCCTCCTCCTCTCCTCCTCCTCCTCCTCCTCCCTCCTCCTCCTCCTCCTCCTCGTCCTCCTCCTCCTCCTCCTCCTCCTCCTCGGATCGTCCCCTCCTCCCACTCCCCTCCTCCTCCTCCTCCTCCCTCCCTCCTCCTCCTCCTCCTCCCTCCTCCTCGTCCTCCTTGTCCTCCTCGTCCTCGTCCTCCTCCTCCTCCTCCGCCTCCCTCTCCTCCTCCTCCTCCTCCTCCTCCTCCTCCTCCTCCTCCTCCTCCTCCTCCTCTCCTCCTCCTCCTTCTCCTCCCTCTCCTCCTCCTCCTCTCCCTCTCCTCCTCCTCCTCTCCTCCCCTCCTCCTCCTCTCTCCTCCTCCTCCTCCTCTCCTCCCTCCTCCTCCTCCTCCCTCCTCCTCCTCCTCCTCCTCCTCCCTCCTCCTCCTCCCTCCCCCTCCTCCTCCTCCTCCTCCTCCTCCTCCTCCCTCCTCCTCCTCCTCCTCCTCCTCCTCCTCCTCCTCCTCCTCCTCCTCCTCCTCCTCCTCCTCCCCCTCCTCTCCTCCTCCTCCTCCTCCTCCTCCTCCTCCTCCTCCTCCTCCTCCTCCTCCTCCTCCCTCCTCCTCCCCTCCCCCACCCCCTCCCCCTGCAGGACGGATATGATGTCGACCCCTATCGTGTTTCGATTCAGCATCTGCATAATGTCCCTCAGATTGGCCATCGGCTCAGTAAGGTTATGTTGTCGATCGCAGTTGGCAGCATGGGGCCGCGAGCAAGGAAGAAGGCAGAGATCCCACGCGTTGCTGGCACTGACAAGTGCCCTCGTTGCCAGCTTGAGCCTGAGACACCTCTTCATCGCAGTTGGACGTGCAGTTATAACACCAATAAGGAGGCGTACACCAGGACAGAGGATCTAGTGCATCAAGCCACGGTGCAAGCGGAGGCGGAGCCAGCCTTCTGGCTACGGGGACTGCTGCCCGCCCCATGGGTGGCCGTCCCGCCTCCTGCCCACGCCGAGGCCTGGGTAGTGACAGGTCCGTTTGAGCTGGGCCCAGGGTGCCTCGGACATGGCACGGGCCAAGCTCCGCTGCTGCTCTTTGGTGATGCCAGCGGCGGCCCCGACACCGCCACCACCAAGTTTCGCCGCGTCGGATGTGCCATCGCACTTTTCCATTCGCTGGAGCCCACGGTGTCCATAGCAGGGACCATCAGTGGGCCGCTCTGCGGCGACAGGCAGGCTGTCCCCCGCGGAGAGCTAAGGAGTCTGTTGCTAGCCGTTGTGGCTACGAGCGGCTTCATCACAGATGTAACAGATTGTGAGCCAGTCATCAAGGGCTGGTATGCCAGACGTTTTGAGTTTCCGAGCGGGCCCGATGCGGACCTGTGGGCCCAGCTCGGACAGCTCATGCAGATTTGTGGTTTCAACTCAGTCTCTGTGATTTTCGTGCAGTCCCACCTCGGGGGTGCGGAGATCCATGCTGGGGCTGCTCCGAGATGGGCGGTCGCTGGCAACACGATTGTGGATGTTGTGGCAGGAGCTGCAGCCAACGGAGCTCGCTTGCCAGAGTCTCTCCGCCAGCGTATCCACATTCACGAGCGGGGAGCGAGGCTTGTGCGTCTGCGCCTGCTGAGGGCGACGATCGACGCGATGGGGGCCGATGCGGCCCCTGGTGCGCAGGAGAAAGCATCATCCTCCTCCGTCCCCCGTTCTCCCTCTGCTGCTGCTCTCTCCCTCTTCTCTACCTCCCACGCTCTTGATGAGAGTGGGAGGAGGTGCACTTGTTGCGGAGGATCGGCCAGCAGGGCTGCAGCAACCAAGTGGCGCCAATCAGAGTGTTTCCAGCCCGTCAACTATAATAGGTCCATCCTTGATACCCCCCCCAAGCACGTCTGCACATAGCGGGTGGGTGGGTGGACCAATCTCATGCTATGCACTATCATCCACATCTTAAGCTCTGGTATTGTAAGTTGTGCGGTTATTTTGCCTCCGGAGTCCTACGTGAACTTGGCAAGGTCTGTACCAAGCGTGTCACCACACATCGAGCTGTATATCTCGATAGGATTTCGCGCGGTTTATGGCCTAAGGTTTTAAGTGCACGTGAGAAGCAGAGCCGTGGTCGTGTATAGCCATGCCTTCATGTGTAATTCGTCACGTAATGTTGGCACAGTTGGCTCTGTCACATGGTCATACCCATACCCATACTCATACTCCTACCCCTCCTCCTCCTCCTCCTCCTCCTCCTCCTCCTCCTCCTATCCTTATTCCTTATTAGAATATACTCCTACTCCCCCATCAGGCCGGCAGATAAGGGCCCCATCCGGGTGGTCCCATCCTAACTTGTAAAAAACAATACAACATCAACATTTTTGTTATTTTTTCCTCTCGACATGGACGTCCTGTCGTCCACGGCGATAATCCATTGCAAAAAAATACAACAAAGAGCACACGCGCGCGTTCATGTCATAATCCTACCGAACACCGTGTGTCTGCAAGCATTTCAACATAAAAACATCAAAAACCCAATGCTTTTTCACAAAAGTTCTACAAATTTCCTGCCCGGGTTCTCTTGCTGAAATCATAGGAAAACCATCGGAATCTTAAGAATTCGGTCAAATCCAGCGATTTCACGTCATCGCGCGGTGCACTCGCGATGCTCTGTCATGCACCCAGGCCGCGAATCCTGTGCAAAAAATACCACGCGGGCGACATGCGCGCGCGTCGCCGCGAGCGCATGCTCAAATCCTTCTAGAGTCGTCGCCGTCATTGGCACCGTCGCATGGACGTCCTGTCGTCCACGTCGCAAAATGCATGGCAGGAATGGGACGCGGCGCACACCCCGCGCCCGCCCATCCAATCCGTCCCATTCTAATCTGCAAAAGACAATACACAGTTTTTGTTTTTCTTGTCAACATGGTCGTGCTGTCGTCACGTCGCAAAATGCGTGGCAGGAATGGGACGCGGCGCACACCCCGCGCGAAGGGGTGACATGTCGCTCTCGCCTCGGCGCCGCGCACCAACGTTTTTCCTCTCAGCATGGACGTCCTGTCGTCCACGTCGCAAAATGCTTGGCAGGAATGGGAAGCGGCGCACACCCCGCGCCCGCCCATCCAAACCCCCCCGTTATAAAAAAAACAATACAAATTGGGGCCTTCTGGACGCCTCCTAATGCAATCGCCAATTCCCGTCGGCAACCGCCATCGCGGCCGCATCAGCTGTACCAAACCGGCTGGCCGGTGTGACTTCGGCCCCCCAGTTGTGCCAGCTTTGCTTCTTATGTTGTGGGAGGGCGGGTGGGACTGGGCATGCCATGCTTGACTCGCTCGAGCTGGCTAGCTTGACTCCTACTCCTACTACTACTCCTAATCCTCCTCCTCCTCCTCCTCGATCTCCTCCCCCTCCTCCT